CACGCACGCTTCTGTTTGCCTTCACTTAATGCCTTACTTAGTTTATGAAGTTTTCATCTCTGTTCCTAATAATAAATCTTGTCTTTTCCGGGGCCATGGCTGTGTTTTTCTCTTGCTATGTGGTGCTCGTACATACATGTCGCAATGACGTTTCTTCTGCCGTACAGAGAATGTGCCGGCGGTGTTCAAGTGGCTCCCGAAAGCTTCCCTCATTAAGCAGTCGTTCGAGGCGCTGTGCGTGAATGAGTTCCCCGGGCTGAAGGTATGTGCAACAGTGCTGTTGTAACGTAGCGTACTGGATGCGGTATGAAAGACTTGTCTAGGAGTCTGAGGTATGCTGTGTTTATACAATGCACTTGTCTAGTCTCAGTATGCTGCTAGTAGTAGTACTGCTGCTGCTAGTAGTAGTACTGCTGCTGCTAGTAGTAGTACTGCTGCTGCTAGTAGTAGTACTGCTGCTGCTAGTAGTAGTACTGCTGCTGCTAGTAGTAGTACTGCTGCTGCTAGTAGTAGTACTGCTGCTGGTGGCGCTGCTGGTTCCAATACTTCCCGTTTGACCCCTTCAACCCCCCCTGCACCCCTCCGCCTCCTTGCCAATGAGCAGTTCGATGCGGATGTCAACGGAGGCGGTATGCGGGACGGCGACCAGGTACGTCCTGACCCGCGCAAGGACACACTACCGTACATGTGGGCGTTATGAAGTACCCCAGCTGTCTGTCTGTCTGTCTGCCTTTGCCCGGCTGGCTGGCACACACTTTGAGCCCCAATGATTATTATATCCACTCCCGAAGCTTTGACAAAGACCCGGCATACGGACTGATATAAGGACTTGGGGAGACTCCAAAACTCACCCAAACACCTTTCTCACCTCCCCGCATCCCCCCGTGCCGCCTGGCTCTTTCTGCGGTCCTGGAACCGCCCCGCCAGCAGTCCCCTGCCTCCAGCAGCCCTAGCCCTCCCTATGTAAATCACCACCTGACCCCCTCATCAGATTTAGCTGCCTAGTTTCCCCCGCCCATATTTGTGTGTCTCTGCCTGTATGTATGTCCGGTACCGCAGGTGCTTCAATGGCTGTCCTTTAACAAGAGCTCCATCACCGGCTGTTGCACAGCCCAGGCCCGCATACTGCTGTTTTATTACTGGATAACCTTTTGCATCTTGAGGGCCTCGCAGCCAAGGCAGCTGCAAGTGCGTCCCGCGCCACAGCCGCAACAACAACAACAACAACAACAGCAGCAGCAGCAGCAGCAGAGCAACATGCAGCATCAACAGCAGGAGGAGGAGGAGGAGGGGGAGCAGTAGCAGCATCAACAGCAGGAGG